AAGCCTAGCCTTAAAAGTAGACAGGGTGTCTGCCTCACGGACTAAAACTGGTAGTTGGATCTGCAGGACATGAGCCTGAGAACTAAAAGATCTGCCTCCCATTCTACTTTTAGAAATTCTAGGAACCACTAGTAAACCTGCAGATTGAGAGCGAAGTGCTCTGTTAGGAACATCAGGAACAATCAGATCTCTGATATCAGATGGAGCTTGGCCATTTAAGGCTTTATATGTGAGAAGGAGGAAATCAGTCTTTTGATTTCCAATTTAATTTCCTTAATAGCTGCATGTTTGAAAATGTTTTGTCTAATGGTGAGAAAATATAAATCTATTCCATCATTTCATTTGTAACCAGCTTCCCTTCAGTAAAATGATGAATTTTACTTTAATATATTTGCTTATAATCAGAGAGAAGATGCTTTTCTAGTCTTGGTGATTTTTAAATGGATGTCAGTAAAACATGGAAAAGACATCTGCTTTCAGGCTGCGGTTTATCTCTGGATGCAATTAATTAAATGTTGTCTGGTGTAGAAAACTCTTCCCATACTTCAGTGCCCTTTGTTGGACCATTCAGTCTACAATATGATTGTTACTGCTGAAGTCTTTTTATTTGTCCCTTTTAGTCCCTTAGCAGGCAGCCCCCTGAACCCCTCATCAGAACAAAGGTTTCCTGCCAACACTTTATACACAGTAAAGGCAGACATGCAGACACAGAGCAGAATCTCCTAATGTGCATCTATGTGTTCCATCCTCAGGTCTGGACGACTGCCTCCAGCAGTATGTGAAGAGCTTTGAGCGGGAGCAGATAGGAGGAGAGCAGCTGTTGCACATCACCCACCAGGAGCTGGAAGAGCTCGGAGTCACCAGGATAGGACACCAGGAACTTATCCTGGAAGCTGTGGACCTCCTCTGTGCCCTGGTCAGTGTCTCTACTAGGCTGTTATACAGAATCTGCTGATGAAAAATGTGAAATGTTTGATTGGTAGAAGAAAACATGAAGATAATCATAAGTAGGATGTTGCTTGAGAATATGGTGGATTATTTTGCAGTCATGTCTGTGGACTGGATAATACAAAATTAGCTGGACAATAGTATCCTTTATCACTAAGACTATTTAATAAACAAACAAAATCAGTCTAATAAGTTTCCTCCTTGAAAATTCCGGATTAGTGTATTTCTATTGTACTATTTGACCTTAGGGTGAATCTAAGCATTAATGATTATCTTCATCATTAGCTTCATCATTGCTAATTATGAACAGGCTGAAAAGAAGTGATTTAGGACAGCTGAGTTGGCTCAGTTAACAGGCTAATAAATGAAACTGAAAGAGTATTGTGCCTTTTTGGCTCTAAAATCTATTAAATCACTTATGGTGTGTATTTAAGCTTAATTCAGTTCAGTTCAGTTCAGCACATGTTATTTCTGGGCACCTACAGAGACGACTCAGTCAGAGTGTGCAGCCGGATCAGGCTGGGACTGGTAATCTGTAATACCGGGCCTTTCCCCGGTGGGCCGGTCCTAATCTCAGCGTGCGAGGGCCGGTCCTCCTTAAATCTTAGCGGCTCCAACTCTTCCTCTCCTGCTGAAGCTCCAACCTGTGACAGTAAATACCTGAAGGAGCTGAAGCAGTAATCGAATGTTAACTCCCTAACTGATGCGTGCAGTATATATAGACCTTCCTTCTCATGAACATCCTGGAGACGGTTGGCATACGGTGTCATTTTCTATTTCTTTAAACCGTAAAATGCTTGAAACAAACTAAATTACAATAAAACTAAAATGCTTTCTTTAAACCAAACTACGATGTTCCTCTCATATTTGGTTTAATTTATGTTTGAATATTTTGCAGGACTCTGTTGCGGTGCATGATGGGGTTTAGCATCTAAATGATGAAACGTTTCCCGTCTTATGTTCATTGTTGCCAGGTTGGGATGTTTCTCAATCTGGCAGTTTAGGACGGCTAAACTGAACTAACAAAGCTGAGAATTACAAAATAAAGAACAAAACAGAATGATAACAAGAGGTCCCTATGTCCTCCAGCAGCATAAGACTATAGCAGCATGAGTATAGAGATAGCCAGAGATAATGCAAGCCGTTCTTACCGTAAGCTTAATAAAAAAAAATTATATTTTAAATCCAGCCTTAAAAGTAGACAGAGTGTGCCTAAAAGACTAAAACTGGTAGTTGGTTTCACAGGAGAGGAGCCTGATACTGTATGCAGCAATACGCTCACACATCTTCTAAACCATAACAGCTGAATTACTATGTTCCTATATGTAAACTGCCTTGTACTTCTAAAAACATTATTCAGTTTTAAGCTTTCACCTCCATCGTGTGTTGATTGATCACAGCAAGGTTTGGGTGTAGTTTCGACCCACCGAACATGTTTAGGTTTTTAACACAAGAAGAGGGCTCGGTCATCCGGGAGGGACTCGGATTAGAGCCGCTGCTCCTCCACGTCGAGAGGAGCCAGTTGAGGTGGCTCGGGCATCTGGTTAGGATGCCTCCTGGACGCGTCCCTGGTGAGGTGTTCCGGGCAGTCCCACCGGGAGGGGGCCCTGAGGAAGACCCAGGATACGCTGGAGAGACTATGTTTTTCGGCTGGGAACGCCTTGGGGTTCCTCCTGAGGGGCTAGAAGAAGTGGCTGGGGAGAGGGAAGTGTGGGCCTCCCTTCCTAGGCTGCTGCCCCCGCGACCCGACCCTGGATAAGCGGAGGAAGATGGATGGATGGAAGAGGGCTAGTTGTTTTAATTTTTTTCCTTTTTATATAAAAAATTGCATTGGTTTACTTTATAATATCTCTAAAGGAGCTAGTTAGAAAGAATAACCCGTAACATAGACTACTTCGTAGCCTATATTTCAATAAAATGAAAGTTCCATAGAATAGGCAGTGTCAGCAGGGAGCCATTATAATGTTTTCCTGGAACTGTGGGAATGTTGGAAGATCAGTGAGCAGTGCGATCCTGAGCCATTTTTCTCCAAAGATTTCACTATATGTTGACTATCTCATCTTAT